CGTTTCAAAGCCGAAGAGCCAGCGCTGTCCAAAGACGTTTCCGTGGTCATGTGGCCAACATGACTAAACACCAAGGCGCACGGAACGTTGTTACCTTCCCACCGAAGTGGTACCTATTTATCTACTTGCAATTTCTTGCTTTCAAACTGCTAGGTTGGTAGGAGCTGGAACTAGAGATGGGAGCTCACTCTATTATGCGGCACCCGGGTCTCGAACTGCTGAACTACCGACCTTCCACAGCCTGCAGTTCAGCATCTTAACCACTTGAGCCACCGCAGCTCCTTGTATAATTTAGTTGTTTGGATTATTGCAAAGTATCTAAAACCCATACTGTCATGTAGTCAGAACATTTTTATTGGGGGTGGCAAATGAGCACAGTGGTGGTGAACACATGAGTTACAGTGTAGTTCAAAGTCTCTACAAGATATCATTCTACAAAGAAGGTCAAACAATAATCCATTTTGATAGATTCAGGTGGGTAGCTGTGTTGGTCTGAGGCAGCAGAATAAATACCTATATAGTACCTATATCATGGACTGGTAATTTCCATTTTTGTTTCTGTCTAATTGGCCCTTCCTGGAACCTAAACCCCCCCCCCATGTAAAGGTTGAGGAAGTTCTGTTGCACTGTATCTGAAGAAGTATGCCTGCACATGAAGGCTTATTGTCAGCTATGCTGCCACAAGGTTAAGGGGCCCCTCCTAGATCCCCTCCCTGTGTACCAACCGGAGCTGCATTCCTTTCCCTGCACTTCTCCTCTCCTTATTTCTGACCTTATAGGCTGCAGATGTAGTGTCTCCACATAATTCATCCGTGATACTGCTTTCGGTTCCCAGCCTTTAGTGTTAATGGCCCAGGTACTTGTTCCTGCTCACGGGAGTCAGGCCGATTGGCCCGTAGTGTGTGGGGGGTGATTTTGAATCTACTATATCTCTCCCTAAGTCTAGGGGTTCGCTATTCCTAACAGTGACTATGCTCATGCTACCATTGTACTGGCAATAAAAGTATAACCTTTGAAGAAGCGTGTACTCAGGTGCTTGACTGTGGGTTCTGACAATCTGGTAGGAATCTCTCTTTCCCGACTTTGTCAAATCTTTCGAGTTGAGATGAGCGACGATGAGGAGAAAACTGTCCCTAAGATGATAGAGGGGGAGGTTCCTGTTACTCAGATCGAGGTACCGCTGACTACTACCCCACCAGCGACCAGACCGCCTACGACATCGGTGCTGGGCACGATACCAAAGATGTCCACGGGACTGTTATTCATGACTCCGCAGAGTCCACGGCCACTGGTGGGACATTCGTATTGACCAGGTACTTTGAGATGGGGCCAATTTCACCCCGAATCAATGGAGGAAACATATGCCCTCATGCAAGGGCCCCACAGAGATAGCCGTTTTGATCTAGGCTTCCACTCCAAGCCAAGTTTCCCACCGTTCGGGGTCGCTGTGGAAGCGGCCACCGGGGCTAGGGTGATGGGCCGCTCGAAGGCGCACAGTGGCCACACATACCCCGAGGAAGGGGTGGACTGGGGCCAACGCTTGGAGGCTTGGAGGCCGCAGAAAGGGAGCAGATGCAGATGCGGCAGGACAAGATGCTGAGCTGCAGACCAGAAGGTCTGTAGCTTGGCAGTTCAAGACCTGAGTGCCGTGTGATGGAGTGAACTCCCATCTCTGGCCCTACCACCTACCAGCCTAGGAGTTCAAAAGCAATAAATTGCAAGTACATAAATAGATACCGCATCGGTATCTACTCCATACATCGCAGCATTTAGTCATGCTGGCCACATGACCCCGGACAGCACTGGCTCTTCGGCTGGGAAATGGAGATGAGTACCACCCCCTAGAGTCAGATTCAACTGGCTTTTGAGCAAGGGAAACCTTTACATGGGGGGGGCTGGCTTGAAGATTTTGGATGCAGTGATGTCATTAAGGTTGGCAGGCACAGGGTGCTGTTGCTGGCACTACTGCATTCAATGCACTCATTCTGCTGTCTTTTCAGAAAGCCACACACACACCGTTTGTAAAACAGAGATGCTCTGGTTTGAAGTTGGTCCTGTTGGGTTTCAGTGTGGCACTTGCACTGCCATAGTGGCACTTGTTCTGCAGTGTACTTAGCAATGTTAGGCTCCTGGCAAGAAAGCACCCTTCCAACAGTTCACTTTCCATGAGATTCTCTGGGAGAGTCTAACTGTTGGGTGCCTGCCTGCCTGCCTGCCTGCCTTGCTGTTTCCTGGGTTAGGTTTTATCCCCATAGAAAACAATGGAGGGAATGGGGGCAACCTGTTTGGGTGCCCACAGAATTGGACCCACTGGTCCAATGTCTTTGGAACTTGGGGATTCATGTGGGGAGAGGCTCCAGCAGCTAAAATGCAAATTTGGTGCCTCTCCCTCAAACCTCTCCAAAATGTATGGCAATTCTTCAGTGGCTCCAAGCCCTAGGGACCTGAATCCAAAGCAAGATCCTATTCAGAGACCTGTTATAAAATATACAGAATTAGTGGCTGTAAAATGAATTTCTGGCTCAATCAACTCAAACTGTTGTATGTTAGATGGGATAATAGAGGCATTCAGTCAGCACTGTTAGCCAAACTGCTTTATCTACAACAGCTGGCAACTAAATTTAATATGGGTTCCTGCCAATGTTTACAGAGGTCCAGACCACCCCAAGGATGTCCCAGTGAAAGAGTAAAGACTGGTGAATTCAAAACAATCTGTCCTTTACTGAATAATATCAAAATCACATTCAAACAATGCAGATACATGCACACATTCAATCAAGTTCCTTTGGAGTACAGAAATAGAAAAATAGTTCATTTTACTTAGGAGGTGGGTAGGTTAAGTTCATACTGAAGCCTTGTCTGTAGCCTTGTCTGTTGCAATGAAGAATGAGGGGTAAGAAAATAGCACCTAGGGGTATTTCTAACTCACACTGCCAGAACCAGCCAGCAAAGTGTGGACCTCTTTGGCTGCAGTCCAAGAGATCAAGAATAGACAAAGGGTTGTTGGATAGCAAGCTTGATGTTAGGGGAGTAAAAGTAGACAGGGGGTGATGGAGGGTTTGGGGCTAGCAAAACCCAACACATGGTCTTCACCTTTTATAGGTGAATCTTTGGGGTGGGTGGCAACCTTGCCATCCTGCGATCCACCCACCTGTTAGTCCGTCCCATGACTACAACCATTGGTGCGTGTAGTAAGGACGTCTACTTTAGGGGTTTGGCCAATATTTGAAACACTAAACTCTAACTCAGGGACAAGCCATCTGGTCAGGTGTGAAGTCTTGGCATCAAGACCTACCTTGATGTGCAGATAGATCTCAGCTTTCCCAGGCAATCAAAGCAACATCTGCCAGGAAATGGCCATTCAGATGTAGAGTGAAGACGTGTATTGCGTGACATCAAGTCCTTCAGCAATGGGGGATTATCTCTCCTTAGCTGTTGTTTCTGCTAACAATGGCGAAATGTGCTTCTCTTCCCCTAAGGCTAGGAGCTGTATGGCTTTGCAAGCTTAATTAACATGAAATGCAGGCAGGTACCTTCTATGTGAAACCTCTCACAACAGGTGATTCAAGCAGCTTTCCCTTAAGCCTATGGGTATATTTGTATGCACAGTCCATGTGATGTGTGTGTCAGCAGATATAACTCCATACAAAGCAAATATCAGTCTTTCTCAACAGCACTGTGTAAAGGAAAATTGATCCCTAGAGTTTCATGTTCCCCTTGTGTGATTCCTAGAAGTTTCAGGTTTCCCTTTGGAATGTATCTGGCTTGACCATCTGTCCAAATTGCCCCCATAAATCCAGATGCCTCAGTGGAGCATGGAGAAAGGCACGTAGGCCAAGGACTGGCATCATCTTACTGCAGGAGGATGACTGCCACTTCCTAACTGGCCATACCCATTTACCATAGCAACGCCAAATTTGGAAAGTACCTGTCTCATTGGATTGGCTAATGGCCAAAGCTAATTCTAATGAGATTGGGGTTCAAATTGGCTAACTCTTGGAGGAGAGCTCACTTTTTTTGGCTTACTTCTGAATGTACCCTGAAATGCTGTATCTCCGTCGTGTGCTCTCTGGGAGAGAACAAAGGATTTCTGGAGCACATGGCAGGGACTTTGGACAAAGATGAGACTTAGTAGAATTCATTCCAATGGACTGTCTTGGACTATTGACCCTCCTGAATGTTGGTAAATATACTCTATTGTATAGTTAGGCAAACTGTTGCTTAGCCTTTCTTATTTTTCTAATCTCCTATGGTCTGATTGCAAACTCTGCTAATAAACTTTATTCTGCTTAATAACTTGTGTCTGATTGATGTACACTTGGCTCCAAGCTTAAATCCTGTGGCTTGCACTGCTTTGCCAGATTGTGCTACCAATAAGGTTAACTGTATAGCCCTGGACAGGGTTTTTAGAGTGAACCCCACATACCAACTGAGGTTCTGGGATCTCTCATCTCAGGCTGGTGAGGGGATTATGCTAGAGATCCTGGTGGCATGTGTCTGTAAATCCTGAGAGAGACTACCTCTCCTGGGTTTTTGTGTAAATCTCATTGTCTCAGTCCATGATCCTTTCCCTTTCCATTCCTGGATTGGTCTGGGGGAGAGACAGGATCATGACACACTGTCAGCTGCATTAACAGAGGGCCTATCTGTGTAGAGGAAAAAGTCTCGTTATGTTTTGCACTGTTCAGTTACACTATCTCCCAGTACACCTGATGAAGTGGAAACTCTGGAAACTGACTAGAGTGTAATACATGCTCAAATACAAATCACTTATGGAACACATTAAAAAAGATACAACCCTAAAGAAGGCACAAAAGAATTTAAACAAAGTGTCCATGTAAATATACAATATATGAAATTTAGATTTCATACAAAGTTTTATTTGTACTTTTCCATCAGAGCAAGCATATCAGGATATAGGCCCAAAGGAGCATCAAGACCCCAGACATAATCTGTATGTTGCCAGTCAGGAATATTCTTATAGAAAACTACATGAGGGATTCGATGGACCAAGAGTTCTGTATCCGTTTCATCTACAGCAATGTCTTTCCCAGCACTCCACACAGCTGTTGGCACGGTCATATGTTCTATACTATAAAATGGAGGAGTGGTCTGTTGATAACAAAATCAGACATATGAAGTGAGTTTCAGTAATCAATTAAACATGTTTTCTTAATTTTCACATATTTCTTTTAATGAATGCTCACATTAGTATTGTGAGAAGTCAATTTCGTAATACTGATTTTTCTAATGCACCCCAGTCACCATTCTAAAATTGCTGTGCTTCTGTTCCAGGTATGATTCATAAAGTGTTTGTATTCTACCTAGATCAATAATATAACAAATATTGACTTAGAGCTAATAATTTGTTTTATTTACTCCCACATAGAGTAAGTAACTTAATCAAAGCACTAGAGTTAAGAAGGATATTGACTACGTTATTAAGGATGAGTGAACATGACAGTTTTCAGAAAAAAATGACAAAAAACAAGAAGCAAGGGACAGGATCCAGATGGAAATGCATACCAGTTGTATGTTTGCACTTTCAGTAAACTGTGATTGTTTCACAGTGTTAGAAAACAATCTAGTCCAGTACATGCAGAGCCAATAAAGTTTAGTGCAACAACAAGAGCTGGGAAAAGAATTAACTAATTGTAGATCTTCAAAAGCAGAGAGACCTTCAGGGTACAAGAACTTACAGGTAGAAGGGAAGCACAACTAGAGGCAAGAAAAACAAGAGAAATATTCAATAAGCTCTGAAAAGCAGTAATAATGCACTACAGTTCCCCCTAGAGTTCAAATGGACTTAACAAACCCAGTGTTTATATTAATGAAACTGCTCACAACCAGCTACCTCCCCAACTCACTCAATCTTTCACAGTCCCAGAATGAGTTGTGTAAAAAGTCAAAAACCTCTAGTTTTCATTACACTTAACCTTAGCAAAAAATAACATTTGATATTGCAAAGTATTTGTCAAGTCTCCTTCCCATCATTACCTCCTTTTCCTTACCATGTTGTATATAGCTTTGTTCTTAGATCCATAGTCAAAATATTTAAATTCATTTGAAACAGCAATCTAAAAAGACAAAACAAAAGATGGAGCCAAACCAGATGAAATGTGAGACCTCTGTCTAAAGGAAGGATTTGAGATCTATCTTTATGAAAGACAAGTGCAAGTTACATGTCTGAGATCCCACAACAACTTTCATTTCATGTAAAGCACCTGTGCTATTTTCCCCAATATTAATCTTCCTCCTCCCAACTGCTTTTACTCCTAGGTAGGGATGGACACGAACCACATTTTTGTGTTTCAATTTGTGGTTTGTGACTGAAGCATGATTGGAACCATGAACCTACATTTAAACTCCTGTTTTCTGCTCCCACAACAGCAGCAGAGAGCAGAAAGAAGGGGATTAAATGGCTCCAAGCCATTTAACCCTCTGGTTTTGCTCCCCCCATTTCAAAGCACAGGGAGGAAAACCAAAGGATTAAATACAGAGGTAAATTGCCTCCCAGGGGGCATTTCACCCCCCAGCCAGCAGAAAGGAAGGGGTGAAGTGCTTCCCAGGGGTAATTCACACCTTCCTTTCTGCTGGCTGAGGAAAGTTGCAGCCAGCAGACATGAGGGAGTGAATTGCCCCCTGAGAGGCTTTCCATGGCCAGCACACAGGATGAGGTAAAGTGCCCAGGGCCGGCCCAGGTTTTTTTGCACACTGGGTGAGGCTACCTTCTGGCCCCCCCCCCCCCAGTGCGCCCACCAATTTTCAAACATAAATGCATTTTAGGAAATAATAATAATGATGATAATAAACATGAGTAATGGCTTTGGTTATGATGTGATATGCCAGGCTTACTTTCTCCCCTCCCCCACAAACATCAAACCCCAACAGCACACTGACTCTCCAAACTTGACAGCTGCAATAGCATTTAAACATTTTAAAAATCACTACAAATGGTTGTGTGGGGGGGAGAAGGGAGTGAGAGTCCAGTCGCACCTGAAGGACTAACAAAAATCTGTGTTAGATCCAGGTGGGCAGTTGTGTTCATCTGAAGCAGGAGAACAAAGTCAGAGTCCAGTGGCGCCTTTAAGACCAACAAAGCCTCTGGGTAGAAGCTTTTGTGGGCATGCCCACTTCCCAGTATCTGAAGAAGAGTGCATCCACAGGAAAGCACCTACCTTGACTAAAACTTGGTTGCTCTTTAAGGTGCCACCAGACTCCAACTTTGTTCTAAAATCTGTGCCAGTCTTTCAGGTGCAACTGGAGGACTTTTGCTTTCCCCAACTGCTCAGGACAGACTTAACAGGGGCTCCCCATCTGGATCTATCTGCAACCTGAAGGGAGCCCCCCAGCCCAGGGGGGAAGGCTTCCCCATCGGATCCCGCCACTTTCTCACAAAGGGAAGCTCCCCTTAGGCTTGCCAGCATTCCACCGTGGCGCTTTCGCTTTTGCGAGTGCTGGCTGGGAGCCAAGAAACTGGTGGCTGCTGCGGGAGCCAGCCCCTCCTAACAGGCTGGGCTGGGATCAGCTCAGGGTCGGGGGGAGAGGGAATCCCAGAGGGCGCCCTCTGGGATTCCCTACTGATTAATCCGCTACTGAAATGCTCCTGAAACATTTGGCTGCTGGGCCAAACTGCCAGTCTGAACTCGGCTTAGGTTTATCTGTATTATCCCCACCACCACTGCTCCCATTTTTTCCAGACTCTTTGAGCTATATGGGACATCGGGATTATGCTTTGCAACATCTCTTGAGAGAAGAACACAAATGGATGCCTTACAATTACAAAACAGTTTGTCATAGTACAGTTATGAGCAAATCACTTTTGCCTGGATAGGTGATAGTATGCCATGTTACAGATTTTATACATTCATTCACAGACTTCAAAAGCATGAATTTGCATTTTAGAGTCTTAAGCTTAGAGGTCATTCTGTAGTTTTAGAGCAGTGCACTCATATATGGAATACAAATTACAAATACAAATTTAAAATTAAGAAACAAATGGCAGAAAGTGAGAAAAAGGCCCCATGGACAACATGGACAACCCAGGTCTTAATCTCTGGCCCAACTGTCCATCTTTTCAGGAATGGCTGTATACTGCTTAAAAATTGAACTATGAGACTAGATCTTATGCAATTCATTACAGTTGTTTTTTTGTGATACAAAAACTCCTAAAAATAATCCATAGATAACTGGGTATAAGGAGACAGCTGATATTTGAATATCACTTTTTAAAAGACAAAACAAAAATCTTAATTTGTAAGTTCCTATGTGTACACTAATAATACTGACGGATATAAAGCTTTAACCTCTACATTTTAGAATGCAAAGAAAAAAATGTTAGACTCTACCTGTCCCCAATGATTCATTGTTTTTACAGAAGTAAAATCAGGATAGATTCCAAGATACACATCTGATCGACTCTAGACAATCAATAAGAATAGATTTTTTTAAAGATCTGCCACAAAGCTATGAAGTATATGAACTAACAGATCAAGACAATACAACATTTATATGCCTCAAGTCAGCAAGGGGCATCTATTATCGATAGCTTCCTAAGGGAACCTTTGGTTAGGCAAGAGCAAAACACAAAATGTTTGGGAATGCTTCCTGACAACCCCAGGATAACTAGCCACCACCAGTCCCTTTGCTAATCCACCAGACAGAGACCGAGGGACAGAGTCTCCAGCCCTCCTGGGTGTTAATCAAGAAGTCATTCCTGCAAAGTGAGAAACTTGCAAGTTGAGCTCCAAAAAACAGGTACTCTGGAAGCCGTAGCTAATGAAGACCCAAAGTACTGGATTTATATTGAAGCCCCAAAACTCAAAGAGCACCACAAAATATCATTAATAAGGTTTATTAAAAGACATTTGCAGGAATATACAAATACAAGAGCAGTGAACAGCAAGGAAGAAAATAATAAATGCTAAATAGCTAGCCTAGAATAAATCTGTTTGTGTTATAGTAAAAAGAAAGATTGTTGTTGTTGTTGTTGTTGTTGTTGTTGTTGTTGTTGTTATTGTTATTATTGATGATGATGTTTTTTTTACTACAAAGATTGTGGAATTATAAGAGTTGCCAAGAAGTGAATTATATTACAGTCTTGAGTAAATTACAGCTGGAGTAAATATGCATGGCCTTATTAAATGTATAGCAATCACAAGCTTTAATAGAATGGCTTCACACTGCTAAAAATGAAATATGTATAAGGGTTGCCACTAAGGATGAGGTTTACTACTTTGAGATCCTTTACGGACAGAATGATGAATAGGCTTAGGAATGTTAAAAACAATCTTAACTGTTCTACAGTCCTGTATTCTCGGAAACAGCAATAAAAGCCAGCAGAGCTCTGCTTCAGCTCAGGTGGCAATATTACACAATCCACATATTAAATAAGCAAGACAAATGATAGCTCAGTGTAGTGAGAGGAGAGATATTAACCAAAAACCAATGTTTTAGTTATTTATATCCTGCTCTCTCTATTTTGAATACTCATGATGAGGAGATGGCAAACCATAGACATGAATAAGGACCTAAGTTTTCAGTTGCTAAAAGTCTGGACAAAAATCTTCTGTAATGCATAAATGGTGCATTGCAGCATATGAAGTTAAGAGTATGAACCTGGGAAATGTTTATCAATGTATTTGATGACACTGTGGAATGTTTTTTTCTAAATGGAAAACAGTGAATGCAAATATTTCTAACACAATGAGACCTATTCAGGTGTGTAGCCATGTTGGTCTGAAGCAATAGAATGAAATTTTAGTCCAGTGGCACCTTTAAGATCAACAAAGTTTCATTCAAGGTGTAAGCTTTCATGTGCATGCACAGTCCCTTACCTGCCTGCTGCTTCACTGCCTTGGTGGAAGCAGCAGGATTGGGGGGGGGGGTCAAGCCATGACTTGTCTTTGTCCCACCTGCCTGCAGCATCACCACAGGTGACTGGTAACAGCAGTTGTCTCTGCCACAGTTATCTCATGTCCTCCTCCCCAGGTGAGAACCACAATTCCTTCGCCCCGACACAGCATTGTGGGTGAGCTATAACTTTTTCTTCCCCCACCACATACAGCTTTGTCTCCTTAGTAAAAGGTTTAGGAGGGGGTGGCAGTTTTAGGGGGCTGTGTCTTTACTGTGTGGGTAATGTTGGTGGTTCCCGTTCTCTCCCTTCTCCCCTGAACTGTAGTGCTGTAGGCAAATGGAGGATAATCAGAAAATGAGCTTCATTTGTCTGGGGGAGAATTTAAATACCTCTGTCATGCCCTAACATGAGGGGTGGGTGACTCCAGGGCATGATTTCTATGCAGAGCTAGAGTGCATGGCCTCAGAATAGTGAAAGAGGGGGGGGGGGGGGGTTAAACTTCACCCAGGTCCCTGGTCTTCATTCTCAAGCTCTATTGCTGGGTCAGGTCTCTCTCTGTCTCCCAGTCCAGCATAGAGTCTTGAGCTGTTCCTCCCTGGCTGGCTTCCCCCTCTCTACTTAAATCACTTCTCCCTAGCCCTAGCCCTCCCTCCTATTTTGAGTTTCACTTCCCATTAGAGGAGTGAGGAAAAAGCACTTTTTCACTCTTTAACCCCCTCACCTGTCTCCAGTGTTCCCTCTAAGCTGAGTTAGTGTGAGCTAGCTCACAGTTTTTTAGCCTCCAGCTCACACATTTTTGTCTTAGCTCAAGAAGGATGGCTCCAGAACAAACTAATTTATGCAGTAGCCAAATTGCTTGCTCACAACTTTAATGCCAGTAGCTCACAAAGTAGAATTTTTGCTCACAAGACCCCACAGCTTAGAGGGAGCATTGCCTGTCTCCCAGCCTTTTTCCTCTCTATCTCCATGGCAGTGGGGGGGGGGGTAGCCCAGCATCCCCAGCTGGCCCTCGTCACCCCAACTCCCTGGGGTGGGATGTGAGATGAGGGTTTAAAGGACCCATTCCCATAGCTGTAGGACATTCCAACTCTTGGGGTGCCTCTCTGGACCCCGGGGGTTGTCTCTCTCTTTCATGGACATGTCCTTTCTTGGTGGCCCCTGGTGGGTCCTGACTGTTGCTCTGCATTTCTATGCATGCTGGCTGGGCTCAGAGGCATTTCTCCCCTTTGTCGTTGCCCCTAGAATACCCTCTAGGGACAAGGACAGGAATGGTGGTCCCCAGCTGGCCACCGAACAATCTCTCTGGTGTTTTGTTTTTTTAATGGTTTCAGGATTTTCTGCAAACCTGCAGGGTCCCCCAAGCTTGCAGGAAATTCTGTTTTCTATCTCCATGCCCCGAATTCACAGATTTAAGTATCCACAGATGGGGCCATGCTGAGAATTAGATATATTGATTATTGATATCCCTACAGATTTGTCAGTGTTCTTTGTGAGTGCAAGAATTTGTTTGAAAACTGGATGTGCCTAAAGAACTTTTTAAGGAACATGTGTTTAACTCATCAGATTGTGAAAGTAGAAGCATAAATGTTTTAATATTAAAATATTATAGAAGAATGTATGTAGAAAGGGGAATTTGCACTGTCTGTAATATACATTTTCCCTTATTTTGCTATTTGTGTGCATATGGGTTTTGTTTTTCTGGGGTGTTCTTTGCAAATAAAAATAAAAACAACATGTAGCAACTACTTACCACATTTAGATTTTTCTCATTAAATCCAAAACTAAGGAAAATGAACTCGAGACAAAGCCTGTCTATTACTGCAGAGCTGCAGAATTTGGCAATCTTGGTTTTTAGTCCATTACTAAAAATACAATATTCCTTGTTGCCCCATATAAGCTGCAAAATAAAAATGCACCTATTATTGTGAGCGTCTTTAACAGCAGGTCTAAAGAGTGGCCCTTATGAGAATGAAAAGTTCAGGTTCCAGCCACAGATCTCTTCCCATTGAACTGATGAGTGCTGATATGACTCTGGTGAGTACAAGGCAGTTCTCAGTCCTGTGACCTTACTGTCCTGTGCAGATCAAGACTTCACAGCTGTCCAGTAAACAGCCTGAAGTGAGTGTAGGTGGTGAGGAAGGTCTGATTCATGCATGACAGCTTCTAACTCCATCTGTGAGGAAGGGTTCTAGTAGACAGATCAGTTCTTTAAAATGAAAATGACTGATTTTTTTCAGTGTCCCAGAATTAACTCCTTAATTAACCAATTCCTTCAGATCACTGAGATTATTAATCTGTTGTGCCATTGATAACCCTATACAAACACATATGAGAAAAATGTTAGTCAAAGAATTAAAATATGTTTAATACCTACATTTCTTAATCCCTCAGGAATTAGCATGAATCCATACAGAAGCCCACTGCTATTTGTAAGTGTATAGGCAGGACCTAGGGCTATGAAAAGCTTGACTCTTTGACCAAGCTCCGGCATGGTTGAAAAGGCAATGAGACCTGCGACAAGAATTTGAAAAGTGGCAGATGTACAAAATTTGGAACAGTACATGGATCTAGATTTCTATCACTTCTGCTTTTGTTCATGTTGTTGAGTACCTCAAACCAAATGCTAGTAACAGCATCGCTGTCCATACCTGTTTGTCTTACATCCTTCCAGATGATATTATTTCCATGATTCCAGATTTTTGCATTAGGTGACCACCTTGTCTTAGGGCACTGCTTGGTACAAGGGTTTCAAGGGGTCTTTAACAGATTAGAAGTAAACTTTTCACAGGCATCAGTGACTTCATCCCTGAATGTAAGGCCAAAACCCAGTTTGTAACAGCCCTTTCCCTCCTACATACACAATCTCATTCCAAATATAAGTTTCATTAGATGTGGGAAAATACAATTTCATTTCTCAAGTTCCAGTGCTCTTAATGGTACCAAGCCTTTATCTATTAAAAGGTCACAACTCTAACTGTATCCTGAGTCCTAGCTATATTCTGAGCCTTAGCCTGAAGATAGAATAGTCCTTTGTATAAAGCAGATTTGAAAGAAGAAATACATTTCACTACAGTCCTCTTAACTTACCTATTGCAGCACCTTGAGAAAAGCCAATATAATACAATTGTTCTTGCTCAGTTTTTTGCAGGATAAAGTTTATTGCTGCTGGAATATCATATATCCCCATTTCATGAAAACTAAAACACAAAGATATATTTGACATAGATAAAATTAATTTTCACTAAAGAGGTTAATTTTTAACAGTGTTATAGCCTGGAAACTGTTGTTTAAAGCTGCCTGTGATCTGTTGGGGGGGGGGGTTGGGTTTTTTTGTTTTTGTTGTTTGTCTGTTTTGAGACTTTATAGGCCTCCAGCTATGGCAGGAGACTTCCTGCTGGCAATCCTTGTTATCCAACACTCCTTGGTAGCTGGAGAGTTTTTTTAAAAAATTCTGGCATTGCATACAGTATGGCAACACTTCCTGGAAAACCCCAGAAAACCCTAGAAATGCTCTAGGAATTACCAGCAACTGTCATGGGCCAGCCAGCAGCACCTCCTCTTCAGAGGATGAATCAGAGGAGTCAGACCCCGCACTAGAGAAATACCCACCCAAGCAGCTGGGTACAGAAACAGACCCAATGGGGGAAGCATTGGGAAGCGAGAATGCCTCTCAACCACAGCCAGGCTGCTCATTTTCAGTCTCCACTGGGTTCTCCTGAACCAGTGGAGCATAGAATAAGGAAGAAGAGCTTGACAGCTTTGGAGATAAGATGGAGGGCTTGCCTAATAGCACAGCAGTGATCAGTGTTGGTTCCTGAAGCAGAGTCTTTACGGGAGCAGGATCGGGATGCTGATAGAAAGCAGCATGGAGGATGAGGAATCCCAGATCCTCCCTTTTCCCAAACCTTCAGTTCCCTGACTCTGAACTGGTTAGTAGACCATGCTCTTGCATTCTGTCTTACTTGTTACTGTTGTATTTGTGCATCCTGGAAACCCCAAGTAGAGTAAAACACCAGGCTCTGCCCTGAATGCAACAGCAACATTAAGGTAAAACCTTTTTTCCTTGCAAGTGGCATCATGGCACATGTGACACTGGTGCCCCCATGTCCCCACTCCCATATTCCTGCCAATTGCCAAGCATAGAAACACTGGAGAGAGATCATGGGATGGAAGGTGGGAGCTACGTTTTTGGATTATTGTCTTGCTAAATGTTTGGATTATTTTCTGATTAATTTTGTTAAAGAGAGCTTGACTTTCATTAAGGACACCACACATTTCATTAACATGATAGAGGGTTTTCAAATTAAGCCAGAGATGGTTCTTTTAACTATGGACGTCATTTCTCTTTATATTAGTATCCCTCCTGGAGAGGCACGTTTAGTCTGTGAAGCTGTTTTGAACAGAAGCTCCTCCTTAACACCACCCACACATTTTTGTTAGATCTCCTAGATATAATTCTGAAAAAAAAATAGGTTTGATGATGGATATTATTTCCAGATAAAGGGAGGGTCCATGGGTTTGCCCATTGCACCTTCTTTTGCAAACTTGTATATGTCTAAACTGAGAGCTGAAATTATTTTGAATCCAGAAAAGAATCCTTATTTTGATCAGGTGAACATGATAAAAAGGTATATTGATGATTACTTTCTTCTGTATAAAAACAGTGAGACCCTGGCTCAGTTTTGTAGATGGATGAATTCAGTAGATACAAATATAGTTTTTACTTGGCAGTACAGTTCGAAGGAAATTAATTTTTGGGACACTGTAGTATACAAAACCCAGGACAATAGACTAGCAGTAAAGACTTACAAAAAAGCCCTCAATAAAAATACTTACCTTCATTTTGACTCCTTTCATCCAGCGCATTTGCACCGCAATGTGCCTTATGGTCAGTTTTTGATAATTAAGTGTAATTGTACACATGAGAAGGATTATGTGCACAAAAGTAAAGAATTAATACGGAACTTCATCACCAGAGGATATCCTATGAATATCACTGAGAGAGCGGAGGTGAGAGCCAGGGAAGTTTCTAGAAGTAGTTTGCTGATCAACAAAACCAGGGTAGAAAATGATGGTATTAATTGGGCTTTACAATATACAATGTTGGCCATACCTATTAAAACGACTATACAGAGGCTGTGGAAATTGGTGGAAGACATTCTAGGGTGTGGTACTCCCCCTACAGTCAGTTTTAGGAAAATCAAAAGTATTCAAGACTTTTTGGTTCATTCCAACCTGAGGAGATAGGAATGCAACAGGAAACTCCCTTTGGGTCACCATGACTGTGATCACACACACTAAATAATCCACTTTCAATGCACTTTACAACTGGATTTTTACTGTGTGAACTGGCAAAATCCAATTAAAAGCGCATTGAAAGCGGATTATTTTGTGTGTGTGATCACAGCCCAGAAGTGTATGCATTGCAAAATATGCCATTTAATGTGATTAGTCTCCCGGGACAAAATCCTATAAAACTGTCTGGTTTCTCCACATGCTTAACATCAAACACTGTATATTTAATTTTATGTCCCTGTTAATTAATTTATATTGGACAAACTTCAAGACCGATAAAGGTTCACACCCCTGAGCATATTTCACGTATTAAGAACAACTTTGCTGAGGCAGCTCTCATGGAACATTTCATGAAAATGAATCATAAATGTGATGAGTTCTGATATACTGTGCTCTTTGTAGCTAATAAAACAGTAAACACACGGCAAATCCTCTTGCAGAAAGAGGCTAGATAGATCTATAAACTTAACTCGCTTACACCTAATGGGCTAAATGCTGAATTGGGTCTTAGTTGTTTTTTATAATGTAACAATTGCCTGTAAGTTCATATTGGATTTTTGCTGATGTTTTCCTCCTTTAAATAATATTGTTCTTTGAAATTGGTTTTTGTATAGATGGTGGTGACAGTTGGTGGTGATTCATGGTGTTTTTGAAATGGGATAAGTGCATTTGTAAAATTACACTGAAACCTTATGTAGGAAGCGCCAAGCGTTCAAATGATTTTTTAAATTGATTATTGCTGGGAATTGATTATTCTCTGGGAATCTCCTGGAAGGGTTGACAGCCTGTTTTAAAACCCTAGACACTACTGTATAGTGCCAAGTGATGTAACTCATTTTAGTTGACATGTTTTTCTAACCTTTGTGACACGAACCCCCTTTATGCTCCCAGTTCTGTGAGGGTCTGCGTGTCAGGACCTAGTCAGAGTTGATTTTATTTTTCCTGACCAGTCCTCTACACCCCCAATGTATAATATTGTCTTCGGGGTTTGTTTATTTCAGGCTGTCTTCTTTGAGGACTACTGCACAGTATATGGCTCCCCAGAAAGTCAGGCACCAATACTTGTTGTAACATTCAAAAGGCACCGTTACTTTATTGTTGCACAGAAAAGTCAACAAGGGGATGGGATATATTTACATAGGATGTTCTGATACTTTGTTGAATAAACAAATCACTTTGCCTTGGCTTTGGTTGTCTGCTTTCCACTCTTAGTTCAGTACCTAGATATTCCTTAGTTCACACCACACAACTCAGATCTCACTCTCCAGTCACTCCTTTAGTGGTTAATTTTTGGCTTTTATTTGTCTGGCCCCTTTGAGTCTAACTGGTCACCTAACCAGCCTTCCAGACTCCTCTCTCCAGACACTCTACCCTTTACTCAGCCACTTCATAGGTCCCTGTGGAGCAGTGTTTCTGGTGTCTGTGACCACTCAGGTCTTACACTTTTACTCTCCTTGGTATATTAGAGGAATCAGTACAGAGTGCTCTTCCACCACAGTTCTTTACACAAACTCGTAACAGGCTGTTTCCTCAGAGCTCTATTAGCCGATTACTCCTGCTAACTTCTCTGTCCAACTCTCCAACTGCTTCTTCCAACTGTCTGTTAAGTCAGTTTTCTGTCACTCCGAGAGTGTTCCAGCCAAAAAGCCCCCTCCCCTCTATGTCATGTGACTCAGCAGGGATCTATCTCAACATTCTGCTGGTCCCAGATTTTCAATTCCATCACACCTTGTTTCAAAGAGAAAAGGAGTGTTTGTGATGTAACTTTTAATTGGGAAATTATTGCAGGTGTTTTCCCCATTAATGCAGCCAACTTTTAGGTCCTGTCTGAAGATGTATTATGAGAATCCTGCTACTTCAAAGGAATAGGGAGGTTTGTTCTTTGAACTGCAGGTGTTTTGCTTACTCTGCCAATTTCCCAGGTCAAGCTGACCTGGCCGGGCGCTGGTGAAGCCAAAGAGTAGGGTTAAGTGAAGTGCAGTTATATTCTCTATATTACGTTTTCCTGAATACCATATAGCAACTCTGAATGTCTATAGCTGACAATGAAAGCCTATAGTTAAGATGCAGTGGTCTCTGAGTTTTAGTAAATAAGGGAAACCCAGGCTATGTTACTCCTTAAGCTGAGGATGTTGAATCATAAAGAAGAAAAGACACTGTTTGCATTTTTAACTGGAATAACAGAAAACTTTGCTTGCTAGTAATGCTAACTGGGAAGGCTTGCAATTACTGCCAATTGTTCCCTCTTTTACTTCAAAGGGAAAAGCCTAATCGGAGTAAAATAATGCTAGTATATATTGTAACAGAGAGAAATCTCTTCTCTTGATCCAAATGCTTTGTTTATAACACTTTTAAATATAGATTATGGTATAAGATGTTTGTAAAAAGCAAAAGCTTCAACAATTCTATTAGCTTAAGACAAAAGACTGTTTGCTGGAAAAGAAATCATTATACACAAGCAGGTGTGTGTGGACCCCTGCCAACATGAGTACATAAATCATGAATAAGTAGAAAGAAACTAAGTTGAAAGAGCTAACGAGGGGAGATGTTCTGACGTGTGTCTTTTGACGTTTTAGGGAAGTACCCAGCTACTAAGTTCAGCCAAAAACGAAAGTAATTAATTATAACCCTTGGCATCAATTAAAAAGGGTCAGTTATTTGTATTGTAGAACAGTGTCTCCTACAGGCTGAACTGAGCTATGTATTTTACAAATTATAAACTTCAATTTTAATAGAACAAGCTTCATGAAATGACCAGAAAATATTTTGTAAAATATTCTGATAAGCCAAAATGAAAACTAATAAGTAGAATCAATGCACCTACAAGAGCTTTATGCCACAATCTATTTTTTAATACTAAAAGAATTCATGTAAAAAGTTTAGTGCTTTAGAATGTCATTGTAATGGTATGTTTTCATATTTTGTACACCTGTTAGTGAAAATAAGTTTATAAAGTGCTTTAAGATACTTTTATATGGATGTATTCAGCGTAAAGAAAAAACAAGTTTGTAAAACATTGTATCCAAACTGATAGTTTAATACTTTTTAAGGTTGTATATGCCATTAAAGGTTTATTGATTGATTGATTGATTGATTGATTGATAGTTTAATACTGAAAATGAACCCAAACTGGAAGGTTCATTCAAAGGTAACAGGAGTCTGGGGAAAAGGCCAAAAAGGAGTAAACAAGACTATACATTAAAATTGATGAGCTGCACCTGCATTGTAGGAGTGGAAACTCAGACAACTAACATCCTGTGTGCCAAATATGTGATTGATGACTGACCAGACAAAGAAATCTGAACTGAGCATGTCTAAATGATGTCAATGATGATGTAAAATGAGGAGGAGCAAGAAGAGTATATAAGTCTGCTTTCTGTATTTGCTCGTTGAACACCCACGCTGTGAGGTGCTCCTTTATTCGAATAAATACTTTTTATTACTCTTTACTTCCTGGATTATTGTTTTCACTGTGTGGTTTATTGGCTAGCCACACAAGTCAAAGAACCTTAGTGCCTTTAGTGCATTGGCAACACTTATATGGTGTTCTCCTCATGATGTTAACTCTGTTCTTGTAAAATGGTTCCATCTCTTTAAACACAAGGCTCATGCTCAGCCAGCTGGGAGTAATTACCAGATTTAGTTATGTATATAAGCAAGGAGTATGATTGAGATTTGCATTACACTAGTGGATTTGATGAATGTCCCTAAGAGATTTGGTTATAGTGCTCACTAAATGAATTAACTGTAAGTATATTAGGTTACAGTCAGTTGAATGCATAGCCTTGCATTATCTTGTGCTAACTACAGTATTTTTATCTTTGTAATTAGATATGTAAATTTCAACACTACACACTCTGACAAAGTTTGTGAACGAAACAAGTTTTGATATGCATAGTCCATTGTGTTGATGGCGTCACTATGAATGAGTCTTGAGGAATTGAATTGCTCCAAGTAAACTGGATCTTGGATACATCACAGTTGTTCTGCTTCTAGTTCTTATTATCTACTCTAGTTCTTATTATCTAAGTTTTTGTGCTAGACTGGGCCTTTCCTAATTCTGGATTTTAATTAATATATTTTAATTTGTGTTTTTTACTTTTTTTATTTTGTCACTTGCCTTGCAGGTTCCTGGAGATGTAGCATATACATATTCTAAATTAATTAAATAAATAAAACTATGCATTCCTAAACACATAGATATAATTAGTAGTGAACAATCTAGCATGATTCAGGTTTTACATTTGAAGTATGAGGTTTGCTTAATTTTTATTTTGTAGATAGGCATATTGCCTGTATGTTAAAGAAAATTATTGCAAACTGTTCATGATCAAACATGTCATTTTTAAAAACTTTATTTTTTACTCATAATAAAATTCCCCCTATCCCACTCTCAAGAGACAACAAGGTCTCATGGTAGCTTTAGAAAAAAATGTTATCCGGGCACTTTTATAGAGTATAGCCCACAAAGAGAGTTTGTGCTTTACATAATTTAGTGAAAAGAGAGTATAACTAACACAAGAACATAAGAGAGTATAACTAACATAAGAACATAATGTTGGATCAGGCCAAAGGCCCATCCAGTCCAACACTCTGTCACACAGTGGCCACAAATACCAGGTGCCATCAGGAGGTCCACCAGTGGGGCCAGGACATTAGAAGCCCTCCCACTGTTGACCCCCCCCCAAGCACCAAGAAGTGAACTGAACTAAGTACTAAGGAGAGAGGTACCGTCCAATGTGACACAAAATCAGAAACTTGATTTGGAGAAAACCCAACTCACATTTAGCATGTGACCCAGGATTTTTGCAGACATATTTACAAAGTGCCTATGTACTGTACTATTTGTGAAACTTAGAGATGGTTTAAATATCTCTCACTGTGCCTAGGAGGAGTGTCAGATTATAAATGTAGAGGCACAAGTGCAGACATAAGTTTATATTTGTAAAGTTAGGTTACACCAGTTGACAATTTGAAGATTCAAGCATGAGAGATGTGGGTGTGTACTGTGGGTCTCTGTCAATCTTAATCTGTGTGAGACAACTTGAAGTCTGATTGGCTGTCTCGTCTGTCTTAGTCATACACTGAGATTCCGCAAGTGACAGTTATTTTGTTCCTCACTGTCAGTTGGTTTTTTCTGAGAGTTTAACTGAAATAGCTCTATGTTGGTCTGTTGAAAATAACTCTAGATGTATACAAACCTTTATTTAATTATTCTCCAGTAAATAGTTAGATAAACACCATTTAAATTTGATTGTGTTTGGTGTGGTTCATTTGAATCTTCCAAAACAAAGAAACATTAACAAATATTTTTAACAAGTATAACTAACATAAGAACATAATGTTGGATCAGGCCAAAGGCCCATCCAATCCAGCACTCTGTCACACAGTAGCCAAAAATACCAGGTGCCATCAGGAGGTCCACCAGTGGGGCCAGGACATTAGAAGCCCTCCCACTGTTGACCCCCCCCCAAGCACCAAGAAGTGAACTGAACTAAGTACTAAGGAGAGAGGTACCGTCCAATGTGACACAAAATCAGAAACTTGATTTGGAGAAAACCCAACTCACATTTAGCATGTGGCCCAGGATTCACCTTTAAAATAGTGTGAGAAGCCCAAATTGACTCCTGTTCCTGTGCATGGCACAGCAGCAGGAGGGGCTTCATCATTCCCTCCCATGTGCATTTCCTAGCCAAGAAAGGGGGTAGGGGGAGCTGCTATTTCTCATTGCTGGTTCAAAGTGTTTCCTGGACAGACATGTGGGACTGGCAGTAAGACCAACAGCCCATCCCCCATGGCTCTTTTCTGCTAATGAAAGAGTGTGAGGTGGAAGGAAGGGAACGATGAAGCTCTTCCTGCTGCTGTGCAGGACATGCGAGACAATTTGCTCCCCACGCACTATATTTAAGGTGAGTCCTGGATCACAAATTAAATGCAAGTTGGGTAGTAGTTCCCCCAACGCAACTTGCATTTAACATGTCATCTAATCAGATCTTAAGCTGGAAGCTCACCTCTTTGGGTACAGATGACTATGAAAAAAATCAGTTCCTGACACTCAAGGCCCATGAAACGGATACCAATGGTCTTTAAGACGCATTACCATTCATTTGGTTATGTAGGATAGACTGAACCACAGCAAAACCACAATGATATGATAGCTATAGGTGTGCTTTAGCGACAGAACTCAAGACAGAATCTCCATCTGCCCATCTCTATTACAAACTGTTTCCTGAACATACCTGAAATCCCAAAATTCTTCCTGGTCAATTGAAAGATTCTGGTGTTTTCTAGACCAAGTTGAACCTCTAATATTTAGTATCCATACATCATAACCAGCATCTGCCAGGACAAATCCCAAACTATTGCTGGGAGAATTTGCCAGCCACATTCTGCCTTCCATCATCAAACCATGTACAAGTAAGATGACTGGCTTAGGTCCTGAGAAAGAAATTACATAATCAGAGGATAGCCATACTACATTTCTGTTTACTCAATATAAGCATCAAAAATGTAGTGCTTTTCATCCAGTCATCATCTTGCTAATAAGGAAGGTAACACTTCTGTAGAATCACCTATGTGATTCTAACTAGGGATGGGCACAAACTGGGAAAATGCAGTTTGGTTCATAGTCTGTGGCATGCCAGGTTCCCGAACATGAATGATCATGAATTTTTAGGGGCAAAATTTTGTGAGGTTTGTGGTTCACTAGAATGACCCCAACATGCTAGAGACACTAAACTCACAGAGGATATCCAGCTGATGCACCTCTACCTGCCCTCCAAGTTTGGTGAAGATTGAATTTATGAGGTCTGGTTTATCCCCCCCCCCACCTAAGAAGGTGCCACCAGGAAAGTACTTTCAGGGGAAATGACCAACTGGAGGAAATTACAGTGCTTTTTGGGGAAATGATAGGTGGTCATTTTGACAGATGCAGGTTAATGAGTGTATAGAATGGATCCTGTGCAAGCTAAAGACATCAAAGTCACAGGGAACCTCCCCCAGATGCTCCTCTACATGCCCTCCAAGTTTCACCTTCCTGTTGCTTTGAAGTTAGGTAAACATTTAGATTGAGCTGAGACAGTGTGTCTGAAAATGTATCCATTCATGAACTGGCACAAACCTCCACAAACAGCTTGAAAGTTCATGGAAAGTTCATGCCAGTTGACCTGGTACAAACTTCACTTCATGAATCACAAACTGGCCAAAATTCATCATGAACATTAGTTTGTGAGCTGGTTCATGCCCGTTCCTAGTTATAATGTGAATTAATATAATCCTGGTATTCACAAACTCATTGTAGGTCAGGATACTCAAAAGTGAACTGGATGTAAGCAGTCATGAACGTCCGTGAACTTTTAAAGCAGTTCATGGCAGTTTGTGGGTAGAGCAGAAAGCAGGGTTTAAAGGGACTCTAACTTAAATGTCTGCTTTCTGTTTCCTGTGAAAGCCACAAAAACACCTGAATGGCAGGGAGGTGCAGTTAAAGAAACTGCAGAAGACAGCCCAAAACACAGCTGAGAAGCAGGGAGTACCTCCCTGCCATTCAACTTTTTTTTTGGGCTTTCTTGTGCAGCCCCTCTAAACTTTAAAGGGACTACAGAAGACAGTCCAAAACAGCTGAGCCATGGGGAGTGACGAACTCATACAAACTGCATTTTCCTGGCTTGTGCCCATCCCTAGTTCACACATAACCTGTTTCCAGTTCTGATTTAGAGAGCAAGCTCAAATCATAGTTCGACAACTCAGACATAATGTGAGACTGGGAATCAGGGAATGCAAGATTAAAAGGAAAAGTAGTACAGAAGTTCAGGCTTACATCTCAGTCAGCCTATTTTAAACAGGATGCAACTTGAGGAAGAGGAGTGAGAACCAATGAATGGTTTCCTCAAATAGTATGTTAAATGCTAGAATTACAAAAATACCTTTCATCCCAGGAGTGTGTATTCCATAAGGAATTCTGTTTATTTGCAGGTAATATCCATCATCTGTCAAGATTTCATATTGTTCATTGCAGTATCCCCAATATTGGATGATTTTACCCTGCAAGAAAAAAATAAGCCCTTGGCAAAATCCATGTTGTATAAGTAACTATTTAAATGAAAAAGAAGTGTGAGGTCTACTATGAGGTGACATCTGCTGGTTCAGAAGACTTTAAAGGGGGATTCGACAGATTCATGGAGGTGGAAATATCCATGAGTAGCCATTAGCTATGATGACCAAATAGAACCTCCATGTTCACAGGCAGTATACTCTTGAATAGAGCAAGAGTCCAGTAGCACCTTAAGGACCAACAAAACATGTGGCAGGGTATGAGCTTTCCCTGAGTCAATGCTGACTTTATCAGAACTTCTGAAGGTGCACAGCACTGGTGCACCTCCCCAGCGAAGGGAAGCTATTTAAACTTTAAACACTTTCCTTTCCCTCTGGGGCTCATGCCACCTCCATGGCATGACTCCCCAGCAAAGGGAAGGTATTTAAACCAAGTAGTGTGGCTCAGCAAATGAAATTCTCCATTATACTCTTTTTTATATATGTTTATTTTCATTTTCAATCAAAATTATATTCATTTAAATAATTATACAATTTTAAGTAGTATTCATATCTCTTCTTTTACATAAAATAAAATAACATAACATTGTCTTACATATTTTCGAGTCTAGTCCATCTTCTTTATCTTGAGCCAATCATGAATTATTTTCCATCTCTTCCAAAATAACTCCTCTGATTTATTTTTCAATATTATGCTTAATTTGTCAATTTCTGCTTCTTCTAGTATTTTATATGTAAGCTCTTTTATTGAAGGTATAATTTTGGATTTCCAACATTACACGATAAGTATTCTAGCTGCTGTTAGTATATACACTATTATATAGGTAAGGTCTTTTGTTTTATCCGGTAACATATTGAGTAGATAGGTTTTTGGTGTTAGAAGAATATTAATTTTTAGTATATCCAAAAAAATCTTATGGATTTTTTCCCAAAACGATTGAATTTTGTCACATCTCCACCATATATGGATGTATGTTCCCACATTTCTCTTACATCTCCAACACATATTGGATGATTTAGGGAAACATTTTGCTATTTTATCCGGAGTCCCATAGAAGCTGTGAAATAATATAACTGCCAATTGGGTAGCGCAAATCCCCCTTTCTGTTTAATTTCCTGAAGATCTTTAATTTTTATTTGTGGTTTTCTAGACTGCCATATAAATTTACCTACAATTTTCTCCAAATCTTTAAAATACTGGTATTTTTAATTATTTAAATTATTGGTAGGTTTTGTGCAAGAAAAAGAAATCTTGGTAATATGTTCATTTTAACTGTTGCTATTCTGCCCAATAGCAAAAGATGTACTTTATCCCAGTGATTTAAATCTCTTTTAACTTCTTTTAAGAGTTGTATGTAGTTATTCTCAAATAGGGTTGATGTTTTATTAGTGATCCAAATTCCTAAGTATTTCACTTTCTGAACTGTTTCCATTGTAGATATTTCTTTAAATTTTTGTATTGTTTTTTGTGAAGAGTTTTTAATTAAGATTTTAGTTTTTTGGAAATTAATTCTTAGACCAGCTAGATTACCAAATTCCTGAATGTCATTTATTAAGTAAGTTAAAGACTGCTCTGGTTCTTCCAATATGAAAATCAGGTCGTCTGCGAAAGCCTGTAATTTGAACACTTCACCTTTTATTCTTAAACCTTATATCTTATCACTATTTCTTATCCTTTCATTTAAAGATTCTAAAGTAAATATGAACAACAAAGGCGATATTGGACATCCCTGTCTAGTACCCTTCTGTATTGGAATATTTTGAGTGGATTCACCATTAACTAGGATTTTGGCATTTTGAGTGGTATAAATGGCTTTTATCATTGTGAAGAAATTATTCCCACACTCCCATGTCGAAAACTTTTGTAACATATAGGTCCAATTAATGTTATCAAAAGTTTTCTCTGCATCTAAAAGGATTAGGGTCATTGGTTTTCCAGGGTGTAATTCATAATCTAATATGTTAATTATGTTTCTAATATTGTTTTGGATCCACCTTTTAGGTAATAAACCGGACTGATCTTTATGTATTATTTGAACAAGTACTCTTTTCAGTCCATTTGCCAAAATTTTAGCAAAGAGTTGTAGTCTGCATTCAGGAGAGATATTGGTCTATAATTCTTAATTTCACATTCGTTAGAATTAGGTTTATGAATCAATGTTACAATAGCCTCATTCCAAGAGGATGGTATTTTACTTGTTTTGGGGATATCTTGTAGTAAAAATTTTAATGGATACAATATCTGCTCTTCAAATATTTGATAAAATTCCATAGGGATACCATCTGGCCCGGCGCTTTCCTCTTTTTTCATTTTTTATTGCTTCTAATATTTCACAGACTGTTATTGGTTCACTTAATGAGGCTATTTGTTCTTTGCTAAAAAATTTATTTCCCCATTTTTCTTGGTATTCTTGTATTTCCTTGTTTTTTATTTCTGGATTTTGATATAAGTTTTTACAGAAGGTTTCTATTATTTCTTTATGTTCTTTTTGTCAAAATTTTTCTTCCCCTTTATCATTTTTTAGAGATTTTATTACTATTTTCTCTCTTTCTTTTTTCAGCCTGTACACTAGCCATCTGGTGAACTTATTTGCATTTTCAAAATAATACATTTTAGACATTTCTAATTTTTTGGCCACCTCTTGTGTCAAAAGTAGGTTAAGTTGGTGTTGTAGGCTAGTTAATTTAAATCTTTTATTATTTGTATTATTATTTTTGTTTTTATTCTCTTCTTCTTGTATTTTTTCTATTTTCGTATTTTCCTGTTTCGTATCGTATTTTCTATTTTCCTGTTTTTTCCTCCATGCTCCTTGATTGACCCACCAGCCTCTTATGAACACCTTAAAGGCATCCCTTATTATCTCTGATTGGGTATTAATCCTGAAAAATTCTTTTATTACTTTTCTTGTTTTTTCTGTTGTTTATCTTTTAATATATCCATTTTCATTGTCCATCTTGATTTTCTAAATATTGGTTGTAACATTAACATAAGAGGACTGTGGTCAGCAAAGGTATTAGTTAATATTTCTATATCTTCTATAGTTCTGAGAAGAGAAGTTGATACCCAAGCCATGTCAAAAAGTGTAATCTTTATTATTAATGTTTTTTGTTCTCCATATATCTATTAGAGAATATTCTTCTGCCAGTTGTAAGAATGTTTTAGGTAGGACCTTACTTGCTTTTTTGTTTTTAGGTTTATGGGATTTTCTATCTAGTTTTGTATCAAAAACTGAGCTGTAATCCCCTATTACACAAATGTCTTCAAATGGCATGTTCTCTAGACTTTCTTGTAGTTGCTTAAAAAATTGCCTTGGTTTTGATTTGGTGCATATATATTAATTAATAATATATTTTGTTCTTGTCTTGAGATTGATATTGCTATTACCCTACCATCTTTAGAGCTAAATTCTAGTTTAGGTTGTAAGTATTCCTTTGCATAGATTGCTACTCCCTTTTTCTTTTTCTTTTTTGATCTGATTCTGCAAAAAGTATTCCTAACTATTTCTCTTTTAAATATTTTTCTTCATTTGTTTAATGTGAGTTTCTTGAAGACATATTATATCAGAGTTAAGTTTGTGCAATTGATGAAATATTTTCCTTCTTTTATGTGGGCCATTAAGCCCATTAACATTCACAGATATAATCTTAATCTTCTGTAGCTTCTCCATCATCTCTATCTTTATTCTTCTTCTCTTTCTGTTTATATTGGAATCTTGTAAGTACGCTAGAAGTAATCTTTCCTACTTTTTTCCTTTCTTTTTTCTTTTTTGATCCTTGTTTTTCTGATGTTTCTGTAAATTGGGTGTTTTTCTCCTCCACTGTATCTTCTTCTGACGATTCTAATGGGTCTCCTTCTTTCTGTTCGCCTGAATCTTGTCCATGCGTTTCTAGGAAATTTTCCATTTTAAAGTTTGAATTGATATTGTATTTCCTCCCTAGATAGGTGAAAAGCACCCGCTCTGGTGTCAGCCACCTATAAAAAATGTCATTGTTCCTCAACAGTTTAGTCAGACCTGAGTAAGCAGGTATCTTTTTAAAAATTTAATTTCTTTATTATCTATTCTCAGTGGATTCTGACTTAATATCTTAAGGGTCTTATCTCTTAAGTCTCTTCTATTAAATTTAATATGGACTTCTCTAAGTGTTTTATTCTTTTTGGCATATGCAGTATTCTTCCGATATACTAAGTCTATATTTTCCTCCAGTTCTTCTTTGGTGCCTAAATCTAATTTTTCAGATAACAGTTGTGCCATTTCCCCCTTCAAATCTTTTTCTTTCGACTCTGGGATATTTTGGCATTTCACTATAGGAGCTGCTCTATCAATTTCAAGCGAGATTATAATCTGCTCCATCCTTTCCGAATTGGCTTTTAATTCTAGGATCGCTTCCTGAAGTTCTTGCCTGTTCCTGTCTAATTTTTGCAGGTCTTTGGTGGGGTTTTTTCCAATTTCTTGTTTATGTTCCTCCAATTGCTTCTTCATTTCTTCTGTAGCTACAAGGATGGCTTCCATTTTAGTATGTATGGGCTCCATTTCTGTTTTAAGTACCATGGGGAGAATTATTTCTACTGTTTCTTTAACTGCTTGGGATACTGCTTCTTTTACAGAATCATGCACTGTCTGAGTAACCATACTTTCAACCCATGATTTTAGATCTGCTTTTAGTTCTTCCATGGGTATTGTTAACGTAGGATTTGCAGCCTGTTGAATTTTTGCTTGGGTTTTTGGGGAGGGTAGAGAAGATTTTCTTATAGCTGAGCCTTATGCCATTTTAGAACTATTGGAGAGTTTCAGTTTATGTAAGGCAATTTTTGTTTGTAGTTGGATGCGTTTTTTTAAATGTAGTTGCTGAAATTTATTCATAGGCCAACTGTTTTTGTATGTTATGCCTGCATTTATGAGGGTTTAGAATTGAATTGGGTTTATTTATTTATTTGAATCTATGTGTTTCTGTCCATGAGGAATTAAGATTTCTGGGGAAAAGATCAACAACCTCAGATATGCAGACAATACCACTCTAATGGCAGAAAGTGAAGACGACCTAAAGAGCCTCTTACTCAGGGTAAAAGAGGAGAGTGCAAAAGTGGGCTTGAAGCTCAACATCAAAAAAACTAAGATCATGGCATCTGGCCCCATCACTCCTTGGCAAATAGAAGAGGAAGTCGTGGAAGTGGTGACAGACTTCACGTTCCTGGGATCCCAGATCACTGCAGACTGTGACAGCAGCCATGAAATTAAAAGACGCCTGCTCCTTGGGAGGAAAGCGATGGCGAATCTAAACAGCATGATAAAAAGTAGACATCTCCCTGGCAACAAAAGTCCCTTGGACTGCAAGGAGATCAAATCAGTCAATCCTCAAAGAAATCAACCCTGACTGTTCCCTGGAAGGCCAGATAATGAAACTGAAGCTCAAATACTTTGGCCACCAAACGAGAAGGGAGCATTCACTGGAGAAGACCCTGATGCTGGGAAAGATTGAAGGTCAATGAAGATGGGGATGGCAAAGGATGAGATGGTTAGACAGTGTCATAGATGCAACGAACATGAAATTGAGCCAACTTCAGAGGACGGCAGAAGACAGGAGGGCCTGGCGAGATCTTGTACATGGGGTCGCAAAGAGTCCGACTTGACTGTGCGACTGAACAACAACAAATGTGTTTCTGATTAGTTGCTTAAATTGGAGCCTTAATTAATCAATTTAGTTACTATATATCTATTTAAATTAATCAATTATATATTAATTTATAGCTCCCAATTAATTAACATTTCTTCCTAATTATAATTAGTTAATTAATTTTTAGTTGTGCAGATGTCTATATGTCTGTGTTTATGTATGTATGTACACTTATATGTGTTACATGTATGTAGTTAATTTTTAAATTAATAAATATTGTATATTTCTCTATACTAAATTATCCCAACCTTTCCTGGTGTTTTCTTTTCTTCCTGCCTTATTATAATGTGGTATTTAGATTTGTCTGTGCTTTACCTTGTTCTGGTCTATCATTTTAGATTTATATCTGAACTTTAAATCTACTGTTATCCAATGTTTTTTATTTTTGAGTATTTTGGATGATGGATCCTTTGCTGTGTCCCAGAAATAAGTCAACTCTATTCTTTCCATTCTTCTTCCCCATGCCTTTCTTCCTGACTTTGGGTTGGCCTCAGGACATCATCAAGGTGCGCCCTTCCCCTCAGAATTGCTTTATCACTGGCAATAGAGGCAATAGAAGCTTTTTTTTCCCCTCGCTTCTTTCACGTCACTTCCTGTTACTCCTCCTGTCGCATCACATTATCTCTGACTCCGCCTCCGTCTCGCAGCTACTCCGTCCACTCTCTGCCTTCAACTCCACCGCTTTGCCTGGGAACACCCCCATTATATGTCACTCCGTTTGCCTCTCTGCCCGGATCTCGCCTTATCACTCTCCTTACTCTCGCGTCATCCCGTGCCGACTCGTGCATTGCCCCTTCATCTTTCCCTGCTGGGCTCCAGGAACACTAGAATACATATATATCATGGAAGGGAAAAAAACCAACACAAAACCGGTTAGGCAATTCTTTTCTTTCCCCTCT